TCCTGAGTCAGATATGTTTTGTGCCCTAATTTGGATTTTTTTATTCATAAATTGGTTTTTTTTTAGATGTATTAGAATCAGATCAGTTCTTCTACTGAAACGATTGGATTCGGAAATGCATTTCATCTGTGATTGATTGATTGATTTCGCTCCCTGCTTCGGTACTAGCATTCTTAGTTATTAGCATTTTGCAGGATTTTTAACATTTCTTAAGTGATTGCAGGTTTTTTGATTAGCATTTGTCTGAGAAGTTTGATTCTTTTGTTTCATGGTTGCAATTCAGAATAACTTTCACCATTTCTATCGTCTTTTGATTAGTTTATCAATATTGCCAAAGTAGTTGATGAATCAAATTGTTCAACTACTATGCGTATTGTGTTTGTAATATTCGGAGTTTTGAGTCTTAAGCTGATTTGTTTATGAAGACTTGTTTTTGTGGTGTGTACTGTGTTCATCAATAAAATGAATGACTTTTCTAAGTTTTAATCTTATAATAGATTATTGCTTCAATCCTTGAGAGAGGTTTTTTTTTTTCCTCCATGTGAGTTTATGAATATAGTTTTGTGAAGACGGCATGTTTTATGTGATTCATGTTCTATGGCATTCCCTTTGTTAGTGGAGCGATTAATATGGGAAAGAGCACTATGTGTTACTTCCCACACAGTTGAGTGATATATATTACTGTCAAAGCTAACGCATTTCAAAACTCTCGAATTTGACAGCATATGCAAGACGAAGATGCAGGCAGACCTCATAGAAAGTTTCTCTGAAGTTTAGTTTGCAAGTACGCACGCTCAGCGATGTGAAATTCTCAAGACGATGGTTTTACAACTCGCTTTTTTGTTTCTTGCATTTTATTCAGAATAAAAGAAAAACATCTGAATGATTATTTGTAATTTCTGTTTGGAAAAGTTTGTTGTTCTAATGACTATGCTTGTTTGCAAATAATAAAAACTCAAGTTTTCCCATACTCGACTTTGGTCACAGATCCAAACAAGTATCTGAACTCTGAATAATATGCATAATTCCTAGTGTAACTGTAACACTCGTCTTTGCTCCACAAGTCCAAAGATGTGTCGGTCTTTAAGTTTATCGGATCAAGCCCTTAAAGCCCTACAAATATGAATGGACCTTAATCCCATATCTTTAAACATAGGAAAAATGGCGGGAGGAGAGAAAACAAAACGGAAACAGAGTTGATTTCTGTAATAAGCTCAACGAACCAGACTGTCTTAACCAAATATAGAAAGATTTCTCCAATCCATTCAATCTTTTTTTTGTTTCCATTTCTCAATCTCCTTTCTTTTAGGACTTCCTTCTATCTT